AAAAGAGCTGGCTTTCTGTGTGTGCAGAAAAACAAATATCAGAAGTTTAAACTGACAAGGCTCCTTAAACGCATGCATAAAATAAAGCAATAAAGTTTAAATGTTGACGAAAAGTCACTTAAAGACTTTCAAAGTCACTTGACTAAAATGCATATACTTCTTGTGGGATTTGAGCCTACAACCTTTTGGTTACTACAACAGATCTAAGCACTAACCAACATCACCCACAGATAACAGCGTGAAGAGTGCCTGGGTGGGTTTGGCATCCTTTTAAACTCTCACTTTACAACCACAAGTACCGGTATCCCACTTAGAGTGTGTGAAAGAGAGAGGAGCCATAATAAACAGCCATTAGGTACAGAGACAATGGTGATTAGCATTGTGTCCAACGAGGACTGTGAGTGCTTCACCTTTGATTAGTGGCCGAGAGGGGCAGGTGTTCCTCCCGCTCGCCGACGTGCAACTCAGAGCCTTTTGATGGAGGAGAATGCCTCTTGAAGCTGTGGCAGCACAGATTAATATTAAAAGGAATTCATAATATGGCACGCAGAGGATTTTCATAAATATTCACAGGCCTGGACGGTAAGCTCCACTTGGTTGTGTCCATGAATATGGATGAAAGACTGGCAGGTTGAACAAATGTCTTCAAGTATACGAGAAAAGAAGCAACATCAAGAGAAATCACGAAATTGTTCGCTCTTACAGGCAAATGCTACTTAACATAAGACTCAACATGTATATATAAAGATAAGTTGTAAAAGTAACATAATGGTATTAACAAAAAAGAACAGTGTGGCTTTTGTTTTGGTTTTTTTTTTATATTCACTTAATATTTTGCATGAGCATAGCATAAAGCCTGTTTTGCTTTTAGCACCTAGCCTCAAATCCTGGTCTGAAAGTGCATTAAAAAAAGGTCAGGGGCATGACAGAAGCATGACCAGACTGTGGTATAAAAATACACTACGGGGACCAGTGCTTAGTTATCCTCAGCTCAACCTGCGCCAGCATCTCGCTGACATTAGGCTTTCTTGTGCAGGTTGCATCAGCAAGAGACTCGAACAGAGAGGAGCCATAATGAGACCCTGAAACCCGGAGAGCGACAAAACACCAAAAAACCTCTGGTCCTGCCTTATTTCAATTTTATACAGATTGTATCGGTATAAAGTTACACATCAATTCTAGGGCTGGGTAAAATACTATGATCCAATTAATTGCAATCTTCATTTGAACGATCACCGGTGCAGGCTTCTGAATCTAGTCCAACAGCAACTGGACTTGAATTGAATATGAGAAACAAAATACTGCCAAGAACTGTGTCTTTCTCACAGGCTGCATGCAATAACATTGAACCTGAGCAGTGTAGTCCAATTCAAATGCCACTACGAACCGATTCGTTTTGAAGCACAAGTGAATCAAAAACATACAGCTCAACCAGTGTCTGATTTTACAAACAAATGACTCTTTTGAGCTGGTCCACTTCATAAATCATAAAAACGCAGACTAAAAAAAGTATCATTTGGACACAGTTTAAGCTCTTTGGTTAATTCTTTAAAATTGATAGACTCAATCTGAATATAATGAGATAAAACGTGTACATAAAAAACACTGCCACGAATTGTGTCTTTCTCACAAGTTGCACGCAAAAACAGAGAGAATGGGCAATGTAGTCCAATTGATTCCTATGATCTTGCTATTTCTCAAGAGTGAGTCAATCAAAAACAAAGCTCAACCAGTGTAATCTGATTCACAAACAAATTACTTTTTTGTGCTGGCCCACTTAATGAATCATTTAAAAAAAAAAACTCACAAACTAAAAATGTATTGTTTGGGCCCAGTTTGGGATCTGTTATTAATTCTTAAAATTAATACTTTCATAATGTACCAAGTTAGAAGGTTCCCTGTATAATTTATAATATATGAGATCATTTCTTTCATGTATAAATATGTAACTGAAATAAACCCAAATGAAACAAATTCAGAAACAATTCATACTGAGAGCTTGAGAATCGATTATAAAACAAATATAGACAAAAATAGTAGAGACTTATAATATTGGCCATTACATTGGTTATTTGCGGTAATTTTTAATCACAAATAACTGATGGAATTTGCTGAAAAAATCTAACAGTGAAGATGATGTGCTAGAATATACAACAATTCTCAAACATTTCAAAACAGCAAATTACATTTGTGACGTAATGTAACAACAAAGAACAGAAAACAAGCAACAGTACAAAAACACCAATTATTAACTTTCAACAGTCTGCTATTTTGTGTGAAAAATAGAGCTACGAAAGGGCCTGAAACAACCTGTACTAATACATTTGCCAAAAAACAAGCCCTCTTTAGTCAGTGTCTGTGACAAGGCATGCATTACCTTCAATGTCGAGCAAAGGGCAGTGCCCTGGAGCAGCTGTGCTGGCCAAACATCATTCCATACGGCCATTAAGATCCGCTAGGCTCTCAAATCTCCCACAGTAAGACTGACACTGCTTTTAAATGAGACCTCTGCCAGATATAAAATGGTCACTTCAAATCAAAGAGGAAAAGGTATTTGGTCTGAGTAATGATAAAGATACAAGAAGGATGTTGTACGCATTTTAAGGTCACATAACAAGTGTAAGCAAGCGGAATGAGATGCACTGTTAGTGACCGCTGAGAGCACTCATGTTTTATTCATGCTGGTGCCAAAGTCCAAAGCCTCCCATGATCATAGAAACATTTGATGTGCTCATTAGATTTCAAAAAGGTCACTTCATTTTCCCCCTCGCTCTAACTGCACATGTATAATTTCCCTTCTGAAGGGAGTTGTAACCTTTTTAGAGGCAGCCGTCGAGTGCCAGCCCTGCTGCGTGTGCAGTCTGGGGCCGCTGTACTAGGATTGGTTTGCCCTGAAGCCTTAAGAGGACATGAGCAACTTAAACTCTGACCAGACTCTATGGACCTATCAGGAAACATTACACAGTCAGTTGACGTACATTGAGATGGAGCAGGAATCAGGATCACATGCTGAAACCGAGAAAGCTACGCATTAGCATTAGAAGGAGAATGAGGAGTGATAAAACTTCAATTCATTTAAGTGAAATCCAAATTAACTACAGCCAAAAGATGCACTTGTTATAAATCAGTGTTTACTGTTCACATTTATTGTACTGGCAGCAACACCAAAACCAAAGACTCTCACAAAAAAAAAAAAAAAAAAATCTCTGAACTAAAAAAAATATATATTGTATTTTTATTCTCCCAATCAAGAAAAAAATGGACAGAAACATCATAATGTCATCAGCAAAATGAATACAGGAATATACTGCTATTTTATCAGTTTCAAATCCATAGGACATTGAAAAATAAATAAATAAATAAAGTCAATTTACTCTTAAGTTGTTAAGAATTACAAAAGAACACCCTCACCATTTAATTTGAAAGTGAGTCTATTCTCTTATTATCTTTTTCTTTTCTTCATTATCTAATGCACATCAACTAGCCTAGTTGTTGTATTGTGATTTTTTTTAGAGCTGTGAAGTTCAGCATGTACAGGGCTGTAACATCCATCAGCAAATAAAGTTTACAGGCATAAACAAACTGAAATATGTGCAAAATTTTTCAACAAAAAGCAGTTTCTTTCTAAACCACCAATACTAGACTCAAGCAATGAGTTTAACGCTGCCCCCAAACAATACCCAAGTATTATAATTCAAAAAGAAGCAGCCATATATTGTATTCTCTGTATTATTACAAAAATAATGGCTGATGCAAAATAACATAAAAATACTCATTGCAGAATGAAATATGACAAGAAGTATAATGTTTTAGGGACAGTCACACAACTATGCAGTAAATCAGTAAATCTTTGGAAAATAATTGGAATGTAAAAATGAATTGGAACTGGAATGTATAAACGAGAACAGAATAAAGGAAAAACACAATTTATGTATGCAAGTTTTTCAGCTTACATGGGTATTTAAAAAATATCTGTAAAATTTACATGCATTTGAATTTGAAAAACAATTATATTCTCCCATCACCTGTTTAAAACTCTCTCTCTCTCCCCCCCCCAAAAAAACTATAAAAATAAATTAATCAAACATCTCTTTGAGAGAGATAAAACTGTGTAAGAATGAAAATTAAATTTTGTAGACTTTAGACAAAAAAAAAAAAATCTGTTTTGGACATTAAAGCGAATGAAAAAAGCTCAGCTCAAGGTAATATGAACGTCAAGTTAAGTTAAAGCTGATCTGGCAAAAATATGAATTAAAAAATAAAACATGCTGTGCTGCATGTTTCTCAAAGAGTCACTGCAGGCAAATGGGTCTAATTACAAACAGCTAAGGCTTTACACCACTGGGGATCTAAACTACAGTCCACATCTATTACAGGCATTTGTTGATATTGTGCGCATATGGTATTTCAAGATTTCCTACAAAAAGATCAGATCTAAAATGAAGATTTTGAAAAAATAAATACAGACCAAGCTGTTTGTCCTTTGCTACATCGCTTTTGACGTGAATTGTCTGTGATTAAGATTCAAGACAAACTGTACCATAAAAGCCACTAGGAGAAGACCTTTGCTAAAATCAGCTAGTTAAGGTCTTTAAGCTCTCATAGTTTGGTAAAGCAACTGTTTTTACAGTTACAGCTGCGACACAAAACTAATTCAACAAACATCAAAACAATCAATCCAGCAACATGGGTAATGTATCTAAAATTAGCAAGTGTGCTCTATATTTGGAAAGAGTTATCACAAGCGAGAGCTTTGAACTCACCCCCTGGCTTTGTCTTTTGCTCACAAATGCTCTAAAAACTGCATATCTCTAGGTTATCAAACAAGTTGTGGCCAGTGACCATTCTGTGGTATTTACAGGACCAAAGCATGTGTCATTTTAATATTTACAGTGAATGTAGATCGCATGACTATTAGACAACTTCATCATCCTCACTGTTGGTAGTTTCCTCTAACTCTGTAACCATAGCAACAACATTTAGCAGCTTATGACTGATCCAAGCAACCCTTCAAGATCTTCAGATGGAGCAGGAGTTGGCTCTCTTTCTTGGCTTTGGCTCTCCAAAGTCCTTGTCATCATGAGTGCAGGGGCTGAAAGAGCAGGAGGAGCAGAGCGTCTGTGAGAGTCTACGCATCCCCAGCCGGAATACGCTGTTGGACAGGCTATAAATTACGCAGTTGCAGAAGCTGTTGCTAATTGCTAGCCAGGTGGTCACAAAGGAGAGGGCAGGGCTGTCCAGCACATGGGAGCTCTCCAGAAGGAAATAGAAAATGTAGGGGAGCCAAAGCATGTAGAAAACACTGGTGATCCGAAAGAGCACCATGGCGTACCTCCGGTCTGGCCCGTGGCCTGCGTGGTTGCCCCCTTCGGCAGTTTCCATCTCCTGGCTGGGAAAGCGTGCCCGTCGCTCGCTGATCTCTCGGTTATGCTGCTGGCAGATGCGGAAGATGTGGAAGTAGGTGAAACAGACCACCAGGGCCGCAGGGGCGTACAGCAGGCATACAACAAAGCCAGTGAAGAGTGCAGATGTGGGCCAAGAGTGGGCACACCATTCAAAAATATCCCCATGGTACCCCGGCTTACCCCAGCCGAAGAAAGACGGGAGAAACACCACGCAAGAGTAGATCCATATGAGAACGATGCAGCAGCGAAGGCGGCAGGGTGTTACCAGCTGGTTGTAGGAGAGGGGCTTAGTAATAGCCAGATAGCGGTCCACACTAATGCAAGCCAAACAAGCCATCGAAACGCTCTTGAGTACAGAGATGACGTAGCTGAACACCTGACAGGTGAGTGGTTCTTGGACACCAGCTGGGTAATGAAGCAGGGAAAGGGTGGGAACCAGGCAACTTAGCCCCACCAACAGATCCGCATAGGCCATAGTCTGGATGAAGTAACTAGTGGTGTAGTGGTGTAACAATGGGGCACAATGAAACACAAAGATCACCGTTAAATTCCCAGCAATGATGAGCACCGTCAGCAACACAATGACCGCAGTCTCTAAGACGCAAGCTTCCATGACCTTATTCTGCCCCCAGCCTAGGGGGCAGGAGTGGTTTAGGGACACACTGAAGTGATTGCTAAGGCTGCTGTTAACAGCGGGGACTGGTTCGATCAGCTCTGACCGGTTCATTGTCTCGGACCTTGTACACTTGGATAAGGTTCAGTTGTCCTTAATGCAGTGCTGATGGCCTGCAACGTAATCCTGTGTCCGTGCTTTCTTAGTAATCTCTTCCAGCAGAACTCAATCTTCTGTCTTTTCCCCTTTACCTCGGTCTTTCACATGGCTGGATCTCAATGAACAAAGCATTGGCAAAAATCAATAGAGTCTGTAAGGAGAAGAAAAAAAAGTGCCTAGCACTTCTCTGAAATCAGTCATGCTTAGGAGCAGTTCAGTAATTGTAAGACAGAGATATTTCCTCCGCAAACACAACTAGGGCTGCTGGAAACAGCAACGGTCACAAAAGGTTTGCATATCTGTACTGAAGGTCAGTTGCAAATATTGTCCACAGCACCTGCAGTGAAGTCGACCAATTCCTTAAGCTGTCCACTCAAGGGTAAAATGTGCAGGATTGTAGAAGGGGTTGTGGGATAATGAAATGAAGATCAAACGGTTTCCTGTGACCAGTTAAGGCAATATAAGAAGGATTAAGCATAATAGAAAACAATAAATGTAACAAAATTGATATGAAGAAAGTTCCTGGGTCATACCTTCTCCTGAGTCCACAAAAATTGAATTTCAAGAGTTGCAAAAGTCTCCAAAAAATCCATTCATATTAGTATGTCACCAAACAATAACATGCACCATGTTTTGCTTCTGGAATAGGGACCTCTTCGCCACTGTCTCGACCCCCTTTGGGCTTCTATAGTCTGAATCAAAACACAGACACTCTAGACAAACACAGGACAGCATATGAGAGTTGCCAGAGCTACCGCTGCACAGAGCACCGCTCATAGCCTGCGGGAGTCTGAGTGAGGCAAAACGGAACTAATAAAAATTTCAAGATCGTGTTCTGGTGGGGCCACAGCGACAGCTTTGGTCTTATTTGCTCCCAATCCATTTACTTTTCATGACCTTTCACTGTGCATATTGGTTTAAAGCAGGTCACACAAAAAGGAGAGACCTGTTTTTTCCAAAAGAGGTATATCGCGGCTTACGTGAAGGTGTCTTCTCACATTGCGTCAGGACAGCATGCTCTGGGCATCCTGTCTGAATTCCACATGTTCTCAGTTTCAGTGCATCGTTCCGTCCAAAGCTTTGCTCATCACATGGCATGCCAGCATCTGCATCTGATTAGTTGTACATGCTCAGCTTCTTTCCTTCTGAGGTAGACCTCGTTGCTTCTTCTCCAACTTCTTTGTGACACATTCCATAAAGTCTCCTTAAAAATACTGTCCGTTCACAAAATTGGAAGATCTGCGTACCGCTCCTGTCCTTGTCAGCTCTCTGCGACCTGTGAGCCAAAGCAGGTTGACAGCAGTTCCCGCCGAGCGTGCACAGTGCAAAACGCACTTTGAAATTAAGAATTAAAAATTGAGACAAGTAAAAAGGGGAGAACAGTAAGACTCTGAACAGATCTATTCACAATATATAAATGGTGCGACAAATCAGAAAATGAGCCGAGGAAATGAGAGCAGCCCCTCACTGCTGGTGCTCAGAGATGCTGTGAGTGGCTCACAGTTTCCTCTCCCCCTTCACAGTCTCGCTCTCTCTTCCACTGTTCCTCTCGATCACATTTGCTCCCTCCTTCCTTTCCCCTCTCTCTCACTCTATAACTCTTCTCCCTCCCCTTATGGCGGCACCTGAGGTTCTCTTTCTCACACAACTCCTCCCAGCACACGGTTCTCTCTCTCTTTCTTTCCAATGTTCTCCCTCTTTTCTCATTATCCTCCTCTTCCTGCACACCCTGAAGATGTTTCCACATTCAAAAATAATCAAAGACTTCCATCTCGCTGTTGTCTCCTACAGCTCCCCGTTTTATTATCCTTCGTTCTCGTTTTCCTTCCTGCTTCAAGTCACTTACACAGACCAGTGCCCAAGCGTAGCAATGCCTGCCCCTTAGTTACAGTTGCCAGGCATTTCAGTTAACCAGGACCCTCCCTCACAGCAGCTGACATGGTGCAACAAACAGGAACAAATTAAGAGACTCCGGGAGGGGGATTTCATTCCCCTGGAAAGATATCATCACCTGAATCTACTCTAACACAATCACAAATGCAGATCTTCACTAGTTTTACTGACAAGTTTGCTAAACATAATTACAACTAGAGGAGCTCATAAAATACAAAGGGATTACCAGAATGACAGCCTATGTTTCCTGCACAGCTGCTGAATGTTCAAGCCTGGTGGCAAAACAATTTCATATTTTAGCTGATTGGTGAGCTTGCAGTCCTGAAGTGAATGTGACGACAAAAAAGGGTGTCTGGAAAGAAAAAGACAATAAACAGACAACACTTACGTAACTTTGTCCTTACTGACTGGCTGCATTCAAGGAGGTCTGTAATTCCCAGAGAAATCTGTTAGCATCCCCTTTCAATGGCAGTGGCTCAGCTGCCGCAAGACTGCCCTCCATCGAAACCAAAACCTTGCCTTTGCAAGCAGGGATGCCAAAAAGGGGGGCAATTGCACCTTTTGTCCTGGGCCCGTGCTTGGGGGTAGGGGGAGTGTCTGGACTGATTAATGGAGGGGGGTCAAATGGAGTGATCATGATTGTAACAGCCAGACTGTTAAAACAGAACACACTCTCAACGTGATTTCCCATCTGGGCTACAGGAACATAACATAACTATGCCCATGTCAAAATCTACTAATTTACACACAGGGATAATAAATATTACTACTAATACTTTTGACAGCAATGTTAAAAAAATTAATAAATGTAAGGTTCAAAGTCACACTGTGAGATATCAAGTCACAATGACCTTTTACACTTATTTCTTTTCTTTTCAACTCTGAAGCAGAAAATACAATACATAGTCACGAGACCTAAATCATTCTAAATACTGACTGGTCGCCTATAATTGACAAAGTCATTATGTAGTTATAACACATTCATAACCAAGGACGTTTTTTTTTTTTTTAAACAAAGAAAACGTTATAAAATTTGTCAAAAAATTTACTGCTTATTATTGTATAGCATGATGTTAGGCCAAATTAAAAAACAGAACTCTGCAGGAAACAGTCGCACATGTAGGTGAAATGTATAAAATACGTTTATCCATAAGTTGTGGAACAAGATACCACTGAACAACAGTGTCAGCCAGAGGCCTGTATAAATGATTCATCACAAAGGAAGAGAAAAGGCTGGAGAAAACAATGAGAAAACCATAATCCTCTTCATCTGTCAGTGCCTGAGCTTTTGATCCAAGGGACTCTGTACAGGGACAGGCAGGGCACTCTGGCTCTCATCACAGCACTGGCAGAACAAGTACAGGTCAGGATGACAGCTGGACTTGATTTGGCATTATTTACAGCAACAGTCAGGGCTTTGCTAAATACACTGCTTTCAAAGACAACATGAAATCAAATTGGACCCTATTTACGTCATAATTTAATTTTAATAAATGCCCAGGTCTTACGGTGCACAATTAATAAGTGAATGTCTACGTTTTTCATAACTGAAACTGTAAACTGTGGAAAATTAAATAAACGCACATATAAATAAAAAATACAGATACTGATATAGGATCTAAAGCATATATCCATGATCCATGTATGTGTATACACAGTATACGTTTAAATGCATTGCCAGACACGACTGCAATGAAAATAATTTTTGCTAAAGATTAAATTTCCAAATCTAAACTACTGCATTACAAAAAAAAAAAAAAAGAGATTGAAGAAAAATATCATCATTAAACTGAAACAAACAGTTTGCTTACAGTTTATAACCACATAAGAGCAAAATTCATAGCAAGTTTTCATGTTTTAAATTTTGCACAAACAACTTGCAGTCAGTCCCGAGGCACGCATGTAGCTATGATTCAAACCTCTGCACACATGTCCAGAGGATATGACTGCATGAACTGTGTCTCTAGGTAATACAAACTGTCATTTCTGTGTCAGCAGTGAGCTGACCCCGGCAACACAGTCTGATAGCACACGCTATGAGGGGGCCGACCCTATCTACTCAACAGTGCAGATGGGGGCCAAAATCCATTACAACATTACAATGCCTTAAAGTGAGGCATGTGTATAAACGAATCCAAAAGGCTCTCTCGTTGGTGAGTGGCGTGTCTTTGTGAGAACGAAATCACGTTGTTTGCGGGTTATTGATTCTCAGGGAGGTGGAACGGGTGTATGATGAGGCCGCTAATAGAAGCGTTATAGTTCAGAGTGAATGGCAGCTCAGTCGCTAGATGTTGACTGCATTAAGATACATGTCGGGCTGTGCTGGGAACAGGGGTCTATTGTGAGGGAGGGGCAGCTGGTCAGAGGAGACTGGGATGGCTTTGTGGACAAGTCTCAAACATCATATGCTGGGAAAATGGCAGCTCACCAGCACGCACTTAGGGTTCCACGATGCAGAAAACGAGGATAGAATCACAGAATTCTGTTCTAAAACTGAAATTTGCAGTATAACGCCTATCGCAGAATATGGCAAATTTTGTAAAGGGCTGTAAAATTGCAATATGAACTTGTGTCTGTGTGAATGAGTGGTTTGTCTACTACACATACTCACGCACATGTGATGCATAACAGAATTTCTAAAAAAAATTTCATAGGGCTACATTAATGTAAATTAAATTTATGAATTTAACCATTTAGACATGCTTTGTGATTATTCAAATTTAATTAAATCATTAAAACTGAATCCAGAAAAATTCAAACACAAAATACTTTGGGAAGAATAAAACAGAATTTTGTGCCCCAAAAAGTATAATTTCTGTTAATCTTTTTATTAAATTGCTTTTAAACTGTATCTTAAACTGTAAGTTTCATGATTCCAAAATTCCATTAAAATTAAATTAAACCATAAAGCCTTAAAATGGAATACAGAAAAATTTTAATAGAAAACACTAAATTTGGGTAGAATAAAACAGAATTAAGAAAAAATACAACTGATGTCATAGGCCCCTAAAAATGCTGTTAACTTATGTTAATCTTTTATTAAACTGTTATTAATTGTATATGTTTCATGATTTCAATTAATTATACATACTTTTTGATTATAAAAATGTAATTAAACCATTAAAACCAGAAAAATCCAGAAAAATTTAAATGGAAACGGTG